TTTAAATAGAGAAGGAGTGCAAAATGCTATTTTTTTCCAATTATGCATTAAATACATTAAATCATCAAAAACATTACACACTACCATGTATAATTATGGTCGAATTTCGACAAGTGTGCAACCACTACTTTCAATAAATATGCAATAACGAAATATGTTAATACTGTGAAAATTGCTTACGTTAAGTCACAAGTCACAAGGCAATTGCTCATGGCCTCTCGTTAAGGATGCCCAATGATGCAGTAAAACATGATAACTCAAAGTACATTTTTACATCGAGATGTCGTACAGCTTAAAAAAAGGTCGGCGTATCACCCTCGCGCAGAGCTTAATACAAGATGAGAGAGAAAGAAAAAATCTATTCCTTTGAACTCATTTCACTAACGTCCCACTAAAATAACGTCGCATTTTTTACACACCTGCCAACAAAGAGACACTTCTCCGGGGTACCGGTGCGAAGTTGCCCTACACTCGAGGAAGTGCCAATTTGACCGTAGCGCCTTTCGCAATAAGAGCGGTATTGCCTTGAGCGCGTGGGGCGCGCGATTTGAGGATAATTTTGTCGTTGCTGATGTATTAAAGGTGGGGAGACATCGGGATTCGGGATCGATCCCGTGTAACGTGGTTACCTCTACCCTCCCCCTCGCCCCAGTCGTCCCCTCGCGGGTGCCTACCGATTTTATTCCGAAACAAACTCTCGAAAAGTTGCAGAGGAGTGTACGATACATCGTTGCCAACTTGCGAGCGAGGATGGACTTCTACAGCGGGATTGAGTAACGAGCGATTGATACATATTGCACCAGCTTTCATCTGCGTGGCTCTATTCATAGTAGAGTAGTATATTTTACGGAGAAAATGGTGCGCTTTGCATTAAAACAGACTAAAAGGAATGGCAATGTTGCTTAGTTTGAGGGTAAGGAACGTTGTGTAAAAATGTGTGCGAATATATATATTTATTTATTTATTATTTACTTTCACTTTAACAATATTCAATGCAGTTCATGTAATTGGCAATTGTGTTAAATATACAAAACCCAAAGATAATGTCGTAACATTGTTATCTATAAAGATGATTGCCAATCAATAAAAGTAATTTTTGGTAATTTTACTAATCCAGCTAAATTTTAAGAGAATAAACTCTTTTATTAAAGGTCCTCAGGACGTGACAGAAAAGAAATACACTGTCGACACTTTAATCCGCAAAGTATTTCCGACCCAATTATATTAGTAACTTCGACACTACAGTGAAATGCGATATCTTAAAGGGGATATCGCAATGTTCCATCTTCTGTTATCTGATCCTAAATGAAATACGCGTATCTTTTATATTTACCCAATAGCGTTTACAGAGGAAATTAGTAAGAATTACTTTTTCTCGTTAAACTATAGTATTTTTACGAGAAACTTAGCAATAATTCCCTTATTGCCAATAAAGAACATAGCATGTAATCCGACAAGTCGTATTGGCGGTCCTATAATGGCTCTTGTAACAATACGCGATTATTTCCCTCTAAAAGTTGCCTGCGTGTAGAATTAGGATTTATTAGAATTATTTATTTATCTGTGCTAGAAAGGAGTCAAAATCTCGTAAGCTCTAGTTAAAAAATCATCGTAATCCCTGGATCCTTTGCTATACATAAGAAAAGCAAACCGCGAAAAACTTCAGCATCATCACTATATAATATAAAAAAGTCGTCCCGCTGTCTGTCTGTCCCTACGTATGTTTAGATCTTTAAAACTACGGAACGGATCTTGATGCGGCTTTTTTACTAGATAGAGTGATTCAAGAGAAAGGTTAATACGTTATAAAACATTTCACCCGTGCGAAGCCGGGGCGGGTCGCTAGTAAATTATATAATCATATAGAATAGTCTCGTAGTCTTAACAGTAGCAATGATCCAGTAGTCATTCGTGCCGAGACTTACTTACTACTACCGACTTACTACTCGCCAGTAGTTTCTTCGCAAGATTAATATCCAAGCCAATCCATGCGGATTTTTGCATCCAATATTTTCCGGTAAAATCTCTCGAAGGAGGGATCGATCTTGAGGCAATACACCGGAGCCTCGTCCCTTGATTGATGCTCCGACCAGCCGTCTTGTATACAGCTAGACGAGTTCAAAAACTTGTTGGTGCTGGTTTTTTTTTTTTTTTTAAGTGAAATATTGCCCCATTTGCTGTTCGGAGTAGACCATGCGAGATTTTTCAGAGATGAAACACGCTTTGCGCCGTCCTCGCTACGAGATTTAGATCGCGTAGGGTTGTAGGAATTTTGCCTTTCCATTTTCTTATTTCAAAATAAATACCATAATAACCACTCATAGTAAATAAAGACATTCAACGGAATGCAACATAAAATAAAAAGAATAAAGAGAGGAAAATAATTTAAAAGAAAAGAAAAGTCAGAATGAATTGAGCGTTGAAATGCTGAGTCGTGAGTATGAGATGCAGTTTCGGCTGATGGAGGTTATATATAGATGATAAGACGCATGCATAGTACCTTCTGAATACTATATTATACCAAAAATTTTAACAAAATGAACACCGGTACTTTGTAGATTTTCATCGCTTCATCTACATTCATATATATCTTACTAGCTGTTAGCCGCGTCTTCACCCGCGCGGCCAAAGGGAATTAACAATGAGTTTTTTATTATACACCGGAATATCTCACAGATAATTGAATTTTTTCCTACTTAGCTAACACTTATCACTACCTGTATTTTGGAAAATTCACACAATATTAAAGATATATATTATATATGATAGCCTATATGTTATTCTGATGTATAAGCTATATTACTGTTATGTGAAAGAGTAACCAACATGCGTCCATACATACAAACTTTCGCCTTTATAATATTAGTAAGGTAGTTTGATGTTTTTTATTTTTAGTTTTATATATATACGATAATATTTTACAGTGATTTGGATGACACAGCAATCAAAACACAATTGAGTTTCTCTGTAAGTAAAGATTTATTGTAAGACGTTGAAACTATTACATAAATAATTAAAATAACAAAAATAAAAGATTTTACTATCAAAACTTTACCTGTAAGTAAAGAAACGACATTTAATGTTATTAATCACAATGTCGATTCCTAAATCACTATTTTACATTAAGTATTTTTGTAATAAAATTATTTTCATGAATTGTGTCATATGACAAAAATGAAAAGCGTTTCTAATTAACAATAGTTGATAATATAATTTTTACAGAAAGAATTACTTTCATAGCATCTAAAACATTGGCAGCCCTAAACTTCAGAGAGTTGATGTTGTCTCGTTTATTAATGCAAACACTCGCTTCGTGCATTTCTTGTAACTTTTTTACTTGCAGATTACATATTCAAATTGGCAAGATTATCCCGCACTCCGACCGACAGCGATAAGACTACCAAATCGAGTATTTAGCGAGAATTACGGGAGACATCCCCGCTTCGGCTTGAGCTTCGAGTTGCGAATTCGTTTAGACTCCAGTACTTATTGTTTTAATCACGGATGTGTTTTTCACAAGAAAGGCAAACGTTCAAGCTGGTCGCCTCGCAGTAAGAGATCACCGCCATAGACATTTTGGTGTCAATGAATTTGAGTAGTTCGTTGCCGGTTTTACAGAAAGTAATCCTTTTGAAAGGTCCTCAAATCATATCGATCCAGAATTACTGCTCAGAATGACCTGTCAAACATTTTATGTGTTCAGATTGACAAATTCCTAGAAATAATTTATATGGCTAAACAACGGTTGCCGAGTCAGCTAGTATACAATACAATACAATACAATACAATAGTCACTTAGTGTCAATTTGTGAATGTTTCTATTCTATTAAATTTTAGAGATTTCGCGTGGTGGGGTCATCGGATGCTTGGCTCAATTGGTAAGGCCTTGGCGCCGCAACCCTTAAGAGACAGGCCAGCATTCCATGTCGAAGGGTGTTTGACCATTTATGTACCAAAATTCACATTTTGAAGACTCATCTTTTGTGCAGAAAATAGCACTAAAAATAAAATTTATCAAAAATATGTTATTACATATTTTGTTAAAGTAAAGCTCATGTATTTGATAACTTCAAGAGAAATCCAATTACCTTGTCGCGGGCCGAGTGAATCAATCTGAAGTAAAGCGTCTCAAGAAGAACTACAAAAAGCTACGTTCCATTCAACGTACGGTCGAAAACAAGGCGGTCGGGCGGTGACCATACAACGCTAAAGCTCTCCAAAGTCCCGACATCGCATTAGGGCCATTCAGCGCGCGTCCGCTTGATAAAGGCGTCGCTGGGGCCGCTACAAAGGCGGGCCTTATATCCAGCGACGAGGAAAAACCTCAGTTATAAAGATCCACTATTACGGGGAGGGCCGATCATAATGGAATTTCAATCAGCCGCGGCCCAGACGACACGGGACGGGGGGCGGCTTATTGATGGATGGGGTCCCGCAGGTTATTCGGCGGGGAATAACTTTGTTCCATGCAAATGCCGAAGGTGATATTCGGACTGTTCGGTGCCGAGACTGAACGCTATTGAGAGTGATGTTACGTGTAACGAATGCCGATATCGATGTTTGTGGCGCATCAAATATCTACATCTGGCCCTTTTTGTAGTTCCACTTTACAAGTTTATATTTAAAGAATGAACCTTTAAATATAAACTATTAGTGCTTCCATCACTTATTTTTACATTTACACTTACAAACCCGATATTACGTCCGGTATTAATGCAGAATGTAAAAAATGAGAAGCGTGTCGCCATACTGTATGAAGAACGGATATTTTTGATCTAGTTGTTATTTAACCACTACACTATACATAGTACTATTCAAAAGCAACAACCCAATATCGGGTCGCAGTAACAGGTTATTCAATTCTATCCTTCATAAAAAATCAGCCAAGCATTTCCGAGCCCCAAGTTGTGCTCCCTCCCTATCTATCTTCTTGTCTGTTAAAACTGAATCTATCAGGCGATTCTTATTACGCGGGCACCGCAAACACGTTGACGGCGTCAGATAACGCGGCCGAAGTCGCCCGCGACTGAATATTCCATTAGGAATCGCGAAAAAGCGGATAAATTATCCCCCCCACCCCCCCTACCCTCTCCTGCTACACCTCCCCCCACCGCCTGTCCCGAGTGGGAATTAGGTGAACGCTCGGAGGTGATTAAACGCGCGGCGGAAAATTGAACTCCAAAGCCGGATTTGATCTTCGCGGATTTGTCGTCCGCGGATTTTCCCGCGGCGGATCCGCGTTGTCGCGCCGCCGCCAAGTTCCCTATTTTGATGAGTTGCGAAGTGGGCTGGGGCTTTGCTGTTTCGACTTACACACAAATATATACACCCACGGCCTTTTTGTAATAACGTACCGAATGAGAAGTTACGTTTCGTCATTTGTAATGTCAACGGAGTTACTTATTTGCGTCCGTAAATACGCGAATCTTAGCAATTGCTCCGACTGACTCAGTGGCCCAGTTGCTAGGCTATTGGTTTCGGCGTCGAGGGTCGTGGGTTCGATTTCCACATTGGACAAGTATTTGTGTGACCGACGAATAATTGTTTCGATTCAGTGTGTTTAGGAGGATATTTTTTAAGTGAGAAGGTGGCAAACGAGCTGGCGGTTCACCTGGTGGTAAGGGACAATGCCTAAATGGTAAACCTGCTAATAAAATGGTACTTTTCAACCGACTTTTACTTTTCAATTCGGTCGTATTTTTGTAGCATAGTAACCGCTACTCAGTTTGTGGTACAAAAAATTGCGTTTGCAACACCTTGTAACATGCGTAATAAGTGAAACTTTATAAACTGTGTATTAGATGCACAATGTACCTTTAGCTGTCTTAGTCTTTCTTCGTTATATCCTTCTCCGTGTTGTAACAAACCTTTGGCTCAACGTGACGCGTTCTCGAAATTTCACTCTCAACTCTTGTTCAGTTATCCGTCTCGCATCATATGCGATGAAGATTATCGAGTGACTCGCTTAAGATTGTCGTGTTTCCTTTGGATCGATTATGCGGGCGCTATATTAGCGATAACAAGGCCGCTCTAATACGGGACATCAAGCGTCGGACACGTCATTGACTAGAACTACAATCCGTATTAACGTTCTATAAAAGCGTGTATACAAGATGTTCTAACTTATTTCCTACCTTCACTCGACAAAAGTACAACGTTTTTTTTTTAATCTTTGTTTTAAAAAACATTGCACTTACTGTAAGCCAAGAATATCCTGAGTTGAAAGGACATTTTAAATACATAAATTTCACGTGGACAAACACCCAGGTCCGAAACAATTACTGGGTCACACAAACACGCGCAACCCTCGACGCCGAGGCCAATACCTCACCAACTGAGTCACGGCCACCATAGGCATTTGGTATAAAACAAAAATTAGAAATAAGATAAACTTTATAAAGAGAGAATATGACAACGTCGCTTCACTTAAATCAAGTAAGTAGACAGCCGAGTGACAACCACTTCAAGAAGATTGGCTCCAGTTACCTCACTTACTATGAAATGTGAAATAATGTAGACTTTACGCTAAACTTCCTCGCGGGGGGGAGATGATGGGGGGGTACCCCGATGAGCAGGTTTCTTGCTTAACATCAGAAGCTGCTATGTGTCTAGATATAAGTGTGCATGGAAATAATTTTAGTTAATAATTGCACTATTTCGATTACATCACAGCTTAGACAATCGGTTAATTGCTATCGATAGTTTATATTAATATAGTGGGCGAATGGCGTCGCCTCGTTTCGGATATTAATTTAATAGTAATTAAGATGCGGGCCACTGATATAGGGTGTTAATTAAAAACGTTGACCGACCGCGCTCATTATATCGAGAGGTTATTGACACGTTAATTACCCGGGTTATTGTTTACTTGACGTCGCGGTTATAACGCGGGGGGGGGGGGAGGTAATATGCGAAAACGCGTTAAATTATAACTGTTGCATTATAACTTGATGACTCCGTTAGGCAGTTGCAAAGGTTTTGAATAAGGTGCCGGGGTCGTGGGTTCGATTACCACACGGCAAAATTGTTTCGGATCCGAGAGTTTGTTCAGATGAAGTTTGTTTATAAAATGACCTTACAACACAGGATAATGATATCCTGCATGAAAGGGAATTATTTTAAAAATTATATAAAAAAAATACATATTACATTTCCAACTACTAACGGGACCAGTTGACACGACAATGTGAGGTAACGGAAAACGGGGCAGAGCGAAATGTTTGGTGACAAAAAACCGTCGATTACCCAAAAATTTTCTCGGAACAGTTTAGAACGCGAATATTTGCGCACGAACTCTGAAGGAGCCAATACAATCTTCCCTTGACGGTCTCGACTTGGAGCATTGACGCAAATGCAAAATTATAACGCGAATAAATTCGAAAGTTTGTGAGAAAGGGTCTGTGCATAGCACCGTAACGGTTGTAATACAGGAAATTTATTCTCTAGAGGCTGAACGCATTTGAAATGAATATGTTCTAACATTGTAAAAATGGGAATAATATTTAAGACTATTATAAATACGAGAGCAACACGTTTAAGAGCCAATCTGTTTCAGAAGCTTCAAAATCACAGTTAACCACCAGTAGGAAACTATCTGTTGGTCAAACGAACAGTTTTTCAATGCGAAAATCGAAAGCAGAGTCTCATTCTGTCTCGTGTTGAATTCTTCAAACACGCCATTAAATCTACAAACACAGAAAAATATAGACATAACCGAATTTCCTCAGCATTTCAATATCACGCGACGGTATAAAACGCTGTAGGGACGACGCGGACTCCCCAAACATTCTCGTGTCGATCGAAGGTACAGGAACAATAGAGGATTCGTAAACGCGACCTCTCCCAATAACGTCCCCCTTTGTAACATCCATCAATTAATGCGCTTTGCCATTCTTTTGTTTTTTATTAGCACCGGAATGGCCTTATCACGATATATTTCCAGGACATATGATAAAAAGTATTTTGTATTTGTTAATCGTATAGGGAATACTAAAATAAATGTTAGTAAGTTGGAGATATGTTTCCAATACACACATGATACCATTCTTCTTACTGGAAGAAATTTCGAGTTGAACTTACCTAAAGACTACAAAAAACTTAAAATTGCGTGTGACAAAAATGTGTTATTTCATTGATATACTCGTAATTGCTGATTCGGTGGCTCCGTTGCTAAGCAATGTGTTTCGTTACCGAGGGTCGTGGAATCGATTACCACTCTGATCAAATATTAGTGTGACCCACATATAACAATTTCCGGTCCAAGTGTTTGTTTCCCAAAGTGGATTGAGGTCAAGCAAGCGGAAGATCGTAAAAAAAACATAGCCAAAACCGCTTACAACAAGATTCAAATGTTGCCAATACCCCACCTAGGTGGGATAAGGGCAAGATATATTATTGCGCAACGGGTTGTAACTCAGCTTTGCATACTCGTGTATAGCATAGGCTTGTGTATATGCAATGAATGACTTAACTTTTTTTAGTAAGATTTTATGTGCGAAGGTGGATATCAAGTTAACGGTTCACCTGATGTTAAGTGACCGCCGTCCATGGACATTTTAATAAAGTGGATACAATTATTTTTTGTATTTATTGTATACATCGCTTTAACTGTGTAATAATAAGTAATAAATACGAATAAGAAGTAAAGTCGATACTTTAATACCATCGCTATAGATACTAGAGACAAATATTAAACTAAATAAAAAAAAAATCGAAGGCTTTGCATAACTCGGGCCTTAGAAGGAGACTGCTGCGTACAAACATTCCTCGTTTATAATAAATATATTCTAATGAATGCTAATCCCTCTGAAGAAGGTAGCCGCCTAGATTACGATTTCTGAACGAAATTTTTTGATTTTCAACCTCATTACCCGACATCGCCGATTTAAAAAGATCTGAATAAAAAGTCCAGAGTTTACTCACGGATTTTCTCGGTCACAGACTAATATATCGACAGACCGCGACCTAAACTTCAATATCACAATATGTAACAGCATAACGAAAAAATAAAAATACCAAATGGTAAGCGAATAAAACCACTTATGGATGTTGACAACATTAGAGATATGGAAGAGTTACCAAACTCTTCTTGAAGACCTCTAAACCATATCAATCTAGAAATAACTCTGATGACAATTGATTTCACAAAGCAGTTGTGTGGCTGAAATCTACTAGAAAAGCCGAAAGTGGACTAAAACTATGAAAGTGAAATAACATGTTATAGTTACTAGATACATCGTTATCTACTAAAAAAGCATAAGATGTCAGCTATCAGTAGTATTTGACTAGTTACTAGGTATATTGTTTTATCCTCTTCTTTGTCCGTATTCCACCTAAGATGGTCAATCCTCTTTGGGAATTCATTTCGGATGTCTACACCCGAATCTGGACCAATCTGGACCAATGTGTGGGTCACATAAATACTTGTCCCGTTAACCCACGACCCCCGTCGCTGAAACCAATGACTTTACGATTATCGTGATGTACAGACGAAAAATTTTTTTCATTTTCAACTCACTATTACCCATCGATTATCGCCGATTTCAAAAGATCTTCAATAAAAAGTCCAGATCATTATGGGTGCAATGAAGTCACCTCAGAAAAAAAGGGAAAAAAAGCCTCAATAATATCTCACCTAATAATGCCCTCAGGGGAGTTTTCCTCGGTCACAAGGCAGTATCTATAGATTCTATTTTCAAGACCTGACCGCGTTCACCTAAATTCTTTCACCAACTATCTGAATATCACAATATTGGGTACACCTCCATAAGAGTTTGGTCAAAATTTTTCAAAAACTAACCAATTTGGTATGAGCGAATTTTTAAACCTGACTTTGACCTGGATGAGAAAAGATGTCCGACAGATTTTAACTTAGTTTGGCCATTAAAAGATATGGAAGAGGCTAATAATTATACAGATGCTTCCAAATTCTTCTTGAGCAGTTTGGATCCCAAGACCTCTAAACCATATCACTGCAGAGGCTAGAAATAACTCTGAAGCACTATTGTACAATAGACAGATCAATAATTTTACAGACTCTAAAAGTTGCCTACTAGCATTTGTATAATCAATTTCGTGTTAAGTGTAAAATCCCTCTAGTTCTTAATTAAAAAAAAATTCTATTTCAATGCCACCAAAAAGAATTACATGTATCCTTGGCTTGGATTCCTAGCCATAGTGGAATCTGTGGGAAATGAAACAGCTGATAGCCTAGCTAAAGATGCTATACATAATGGCATAATCAAAATATTACATTTTCCCATGATGTTATTCCACTACTAGCTAAATTGAGACTAACCAACAAATGGAATCATCAAATTTTAACTCCAGAAAAAGGGTAAATTTTACTTTTCTATACAACCAAAAGTTCCTGTAAAGCC